ACTGTATTTTTTCTACATAACCCCCCCTTAACTTTAAAGCTGGATCCGCCCCTGTAATGACCCGCTATAGCCGGACGTTTTTTTGTGCAACTTGCAGGAGTTTGCCATGCTGATGATCTGCAGTACCTGTTTCCAGTGGGCGATGGGCTTTTCCCAGACAAAAAACCTAGCGAAGACGATAAGAATGTGGCAAAATTATTTTCCATGCTGTTCGCCAATTTCGCTTTAACAGGGTCAGAAGTCGCAATGGAAATTTCGCCTGAATATTAACGTTTGTATTTGCAGCAATCCCACTCCTGAAGTATCGGAAGTTATTCCAGAGCCCTGGAAACCAGTGGCGTCTGATAATATGGAGTTCTACTCCATCAATGCCGAATCTCCCGGCATGAAAACTGGGCTGTTTTTAGACCGGGCCAAGTTCTGGAGAACTTTGGAGTCCAACCCCCGAGCCCCCCATCAAAGCCCAATTAAAGACGAATTGTAATCGTTGCCACTGGCCTATGCGTTTTAGCATAGAACAGCAGTTTTACCAAAAAAACTCAAAATAGTTTATTTCGGCTTTGCATCAGCTTTCAACTTGTTTTTCCGCTTTTCGGCTCTGGTGGTTTTCACTTGAGGCGTCGCGTTTTGGGCTTCTGGAGATGGGCCGGGCTCAGGCGGTGGAGGCACTGGACCCGCCTGGATATTGCACGTGTAGTTTCCAGGTCCGGGATTGCAAAAAATTAGTTCGCCGTTCTTGTCCGACCATTTTACGTAGCTGAACTCGTACAATATCTGCAAGAACACATCAAGTTCAACTGTTGTTTTCTGTCTGTTTAATTAAATAGTCTCCTTATTTTCCTTAGTTGTTGAGTTTAGTTTAGTTGCGTATTTGTTAGGTTTTTTGCGCTGATGGTTTCGCTTGTTTTACCTGATTAATCCCAATTTTCCTTCCGATTGTCTGCGTTTTGTAATTGTTGAAAACGCCCATAACGACAGGAATTTTCAGATGCCGCGCAACGTCCAGTCCAGCAAGCATCATCTGGTAGCCTAAAGCTGAAATTTTGCGATTATTTAAACGTCCTCAGACGAAGGGCGAATCCCCCATTCAATTCT